AATTTACCACCACTTTGCGGATTTAACTATTATATACTATATTAGCTATACCGGTCCGCTTCGCTGGGCATTTAAATTTGACATTATTATTTCTCACCCCTACGAAGATTCTCATCATTAACGCCCCCGCAACTGGTGTAGGGAGTCCGACACTCATATAAATATTAGCCTATCCATTAAGTACATGTATTTTCTACATGGATACCAAGTTTCAAGTCAATCGGATGCACGGTTCACTAGTTATAACGGAACATCCGTATAAACCACTGTAGATTTATATATTAGTATAGATAGTATATAATTATTTTGTTGCACTTGACCTCAAGTTTCAAAGGGGGGTTTCAATGGGTAGTTCCTTAAAAACGTGAAGTCGTTTGCATTTAATAAAATGTCTTGACGAATTATTGAAAAAAAGTAAAGTCTACAGCATTCAGTTTTATTTGTTTCGATATACAATAGTTTATTTGTACCGTTGGAAATGGCGAAATACATTCTCGTTTAATTCCGAGCATAAGGCACTCAGAATTAAATGAGAATGTATCAACATTTCGCATTACCCGAGCCGGAGTTACGCATCCCTAATCTATGAATAAATGCCTGAAAGGTCGACATCTTTCAAACATCTCTCCCAGGGAGTATCCACAGCGCATACTTTTGCCGCCTTTGGCATAATCGGGATGCCTCGCTGCAAATATTTTGAATTTATGCTTTGTACAACGCAAGATTTTATATTGTCGTTATATGTGTATGTATGCGACGAACCTTGATGTGAATGCTTCAAATATTTAGAGGCTAGCTTTTGCCCGCGACTCCGTTCGCGTGGAATAGTTACTTTGGCATAACGCTAAATTTTACCCCCCCACTTCAATTACGTAGAAAGTGAAGATACTTTTGAATTATAGAATGCTAAGGAGCTATTTAAACCCCTATTTTGAAATAGGTAGGCTTTGAAATAGGTACGCAGCGGCTTGGCTCTGCCCCTGGCATTGCTGAAGTCCATGGGCAACGGTAACCACTCACCATCAGGTGGGCCGTATGCCCGTCTGCCTACAAAGGCAATAAAAAAAAAACCTTCTTTATTGGTGCTCCACTTGTATTGGTCTTAGCGTGATGTTATATAGCCTATATTCCTCGATAAATGGGCTATCTAACACTTCAAGAATTTTTCAAATCGGACCTATAGTTCCTCAGATTAGCGCGTTCAAACAAACAAACTCTTCAGCTTTATAATATTAGTATAGATTAATTTTATATTCATTTAATTAGCTTGCTTAGTTTAGTGTCGCGTGGAACATAAGCGAGCATCAAACTAATTACGAGATTGATATATGAAATTGTACTTTCTTATCTCGTGTGCTTGAATCAATCAGCGAGACAAGACTACATCAGTGTACAATAACGTACACAGCTGATTGTTCTGATTGAGTGGCTGCCTCTCGACTGATAATTGACTCGAGTAGGTAGTTCATTGAGGTGCGTAGATATGTATAAGTACATGTTTGGAAACTATGAATGTGTTAGATCTAATACGTAGATAGGTGATGGAAAACAATATGATATTCAACATTTGTTATTTGATTGAGACGATTTTTCCTACTTTTTACTGGTGGTAGAAACTCTTGTGAGTCCGCACGGGTAGGTATCACCACCCTACCTATTTCTGCCGTGAAGCAGTAATACGTTTCGGTTTGAAGGGCGGGGCAGCCGTTGTAACTATACTGAGACCTTAGAACTCATATCTCAAGGTGGGAGGCGCATTTACGTTGTAGATGTCTATAGGCTTCATTAACCATTTAACACCAGGTGGGCTGTGAGCTCATCTACCCATATATGCAATAAAAAAAAGCAATTAAGTAACAATTAGAAGCGTCCTCATTACTATGAACTAGGTCTTAAACTGTTTCTCCATCAACTAAAGTCATCTAGGTCGTTATATCTTCCACCTAACTATGCCTATAAAACTAATTAAACATCGAATTACAGGGTAATTATCTCTATGAATTAGGTTATTGTTCGTAACAATTTTTTTCGAGTATTATCGAATCACCGTTAAACGTATTACGGCCGATTTTATGCTATTTAATGCCAATAATCTTTTACCGGTACACGAACGTCGGTCCGTCACACCGAGCGCCTTAATAACGCACACGATTATATATATTATACTTGCTTTTACTTGCAGGCTTGATAATTCATCATCATCATAGTCGGTTGCTCTTGGCAGAGCAGTCGTGGTCATGTGGAATTCTTGCTTATTAACAGATGTTTTCCATAATTCGCGAACCGAGGCCCGGCGCACGCACTCGTTGATGTGATAGTTAAACATTTTGAAATAATGAAAACATATTTCTGCCGTGAAGCAGTAATGCGTTTCGGTTTGAAGGCTGGGGCAGCCGTTGCAACTATATTGAGACTTTAGAACTTATATCTCAAGGTGGGTGGCAGCATTTACGTTGTATGGTTCTATGGGCTCCAGTAACCACTTAACACCAGGTGGGCTGTGAGCTCGTCCACACATCTAAGCAATAAAAAAAACACGATTTTGCGCATAGCGTTTATATTAAATACTAGCGACCCGCTCTCACTTCGCTTCGAGAACTGTAATTAATTTCGGGAACTGTAATTATTATGAAAATAATAATGGCAGATTTTTTCCTACTTACTTGACACTTATCCTCTATATTTCAGGTAATCCACATATAAACTATATAGCCTATATATCGACGCTTGAAAGGCAAACGTGACTAAGCGACAATGCGTGAACTTTACAGTAGACCAATTTAAAGTTGAAATACCTGAAAAAAAATCTATTTTCACGAATCTAGCTGTAGGATTGAAATGATTTTAATAGACCTAGAAATAATTTTTTAATTGCGCATCATATATAGTTATTGCCTATAACTTATGTACAAAACAGTTATTGTCGCTTAGTCAAGTTTGCCTTTCAAGCGTCGATATGTACTATTCTAATGTGGCAGTTATATTATCGTAAAGTTTCATCATAATCCATCCAGTAGTTTTTGCGTGAAGGAGTAACAAACATACATCCATACATTCTTACAAACTTTCGCGTTTATAATATTATTAGGATTAGCGTTCGGTAAATACGGAGTTCCTAATATGGCAGCAAAATTAGGAAAATTACACCCAACGTATGCGAAATTAGCAATCTTGTGTATTCTTTTTTATTTTTAATTGCTTAGCTGTGTGGACGAGCTTACAGCCCACCTGGTGTTAAGTGGTTACTGGAGCCTATAGAATCTACAACGTAAATGCGCCACCCACCTTGAGATATAAGTTCTAAGGTCTCAGTATAGTTACAACGGCTGCCTCACCCTTCAAACTGAAACGCATTACTGCTTCACGACAGAAATAGGCAGGGCGGTGGTACTTAGCCATGCGGACTCACAAGAGGTCCTACCATCAGTAATATTCTATGTCTTCACAACGAATGTAATCTCAAGGCTTATCTGAATGCTGTTCTGTTATGTTATAAAAATGGCAACTGATTACGCTACATCTAACATTTTTCGTTCCAAATATTTGAATTCACTATCAAGAATATTTTAACTAACGCAAACGGTGTGATACGAGGACAGACGCTGAAGCCAATATTCGAAGTAATAAATAACTTTAATGGATCGATTCAGAGAGCCGCAGACTGTTAACATATTTTCAGCGACTTTTTTAAAGTCCCATGTGCATGCGAAGAGCGCCGATAATGGCCTCGTGCAAATGTTTATTTGAAAATGTATGTTTCTACGTACCGCTGTTTATTTTGTCAGGTTTTTATTCGATTACTTAGGTATTGATCGCGACCCGTATATTGACGTGACGTCTTATAATTCGATGGAGCCGGCTGCACGCACGAAAAAACATGACTCATGCGGCGTTACCTCGCTCTGAGGCGTTCCATTTAAGGCTTTAAGTGCAAGCGAGAGCGCGCAACGAGCGACAAAGAGGCACAATCGGCCTCCGCGTTCGGCAGCGTTCGACATCTGTCTCGCTCCTACTTGAGTGAGCGATGCATCCGCGTGTACAGCTGCTATACAATAATACATTTACATGTTTTCGTCAAGTATGAAGTTCAGTGAAAAGTGAATGTGGTGTCAATTGTCCATACAAAATATCTATCAAACAAATAAAATTTAAATTTTCTTTTGAAAAATGAAACCATTCCATCAGTATTTTCTTATGACGTTGTCACGTTCAACTATCGTAAGTAAACCGACTTTACAGACAACCGATTTTTTGTGACATATACGTGAAACTCCAACCGCTAGTAAGTTGGCACGGATTGGTAGAAATTAACTACAGCGTACCCATAAAATTATTACACGCAACACAATAATCACATTTTGAAACCGCCCGCCATCGCATAACCGGATAACCGGTCGGTTGCCAGAAGCCGGTACGGTCTGGCATTAATTGCCAGAGTTAGCGAATCGCTGGCGGGCCGGTCTAAACCTATTATGAGCGGTTTCCGAGCGAATTCACAACCGGTTAATGATTATGTGTCAATGTGGTGTGAATTAGAAGTGGGCGTTACTTATTTAATGGAATCCCGTTATTAATTATTGTAAGTTAGTGTTATTAAATTACAATAGATTGATTAATTTAAATGCCGCGGCTTTAAGTAGGGTGTTCAATGTTAGATCCCTCAAGATTTACTGAATGGGACTACAGTGGAGCAATGTACGTAGGAATTTGAAGGGTAGAAGGTATTAGAATCTAACGAGTGAATAGGTTGGAGCCCTATAACATGCAGCTCACTCGCAAGGGAAACGGGTGTACCTAAATTCGATTTCGCTCTTACACTGTGGATAGCCTATAGCCTAATAGTGGGTTGCTGTTTGAAAGATAGGATCGTTTTTTATTATTTTAGAGAATTGATTTAGAAAATTATGTATTTGTATTCACGTCTGTCAGGTTTGATTTTTATATAGAGGTATTGACCGTTTGAAAATAAAATAATATCAAAATTGAACAGTCCAACCAACCTGATAGCCATACTCTTCGCTTTCAAGTGATGCCATCTCTGATTCATCTCATCCAGTCTCCTCTGCAGCATGACAGCGTCTTCCTGAGAAGACAGGCTGCCCAGGAGACGCCGGCCAGTTCCAGTGAGCGATGCGTACACATTCCTGTGTGTCTCGATCTCCGATTGCAGATCCTGGAAATAATTGAGTACATTTAGTTACAATGCTTTTGTAAGCTAGACTTTTTGCCAACGTAATCACTGCGAAGTTACGTTATGATCGTTCTAAAGTTGAATTTTGGTGTTTTAATAAAAAAAGCAAATTGTATCTTTTTGAGTTCACAAAAGACGTTAATTTTTAGCGTTCAGGCGAAATACTACACGTCTTTACATTCCATTATCTTTTTTTTATTGCCCTTGTAAGCAGACGAGCATACGGCCCACCTGATGGTGAGTGGTTACCGTCGCCCATGGACTTCAGCAATGCCAGGGGCAGAGCCAAACCGCTGCCTTCCGTTGAGTACTCTCCGCAAGCCTCGTTTGGAGAAGGGCAAGTCATAGCGCTCGGGAAACACCGTGGAGGGGAGCTCATTCCAAAGCCGGGTGGTACGTGGCAAAAAAGTGGATGATCGCAGTGGCTCCAGGTAGTATGGATGGACTCTTATCAGGTGGCGGGCGGTGCGAAAGTAAAAACGAGATGATGGAATCATCTCAATAATTAAATTCAAATAAATAATTAATTATCAACGTATGTTAAGTTTTTGTTGAACATTTCAGAGCCTATAGAATCAATCCGAAGTTATTTATTAAAAGAAAAACGATTAGAATTTTTGCTTAGCTTTTGACTAAACAAATCACGTCCAATAACTACAATCGTTTATCAACAAGAATCCTTAATATCCTTGACTCGTATAAACGTGAAAAATTGACAAACAAAATTCGCGTGAGTAAAAACTTCGTACAGCGTACGTAAGCGAGCAATTTCTTCGGACCCTGGGAGACTGGTGACAAATGAAAGGCTTTTGTCCGAAGAATGCCTCAAACTGGACTCGTACTCTCTCAGAAATATATATTTCGAATTGTGTCCATATTTTACTGTAACGTTGTCTTTGTCTCTTCATTGTTATTTTTCTCGTGTGATCTTTCAAGTAAATGAATTTTTGAAAATTAAGCTTCGATTTTCTGAAAGGTACGATTTGTGTTTTTATTAAGGTTATAGTTTGTTATGAAAGTAGATAAATGGTTTTTATATATGAACAAAATGCGGGTGTGGATATTAACCTTGCGTTGCCTTCTTTTCGCTACTTGGGAATACCGGTTAGCCAATATCAAAAAACTGATCTAAGTTTATTGGAGTCTATAATGTATCTTTTTTTTTATTGCTTAGATGTGTGGACGAGCTCACAGCCCACCTGGTGTTAAGTGGTTACTGAAGCCCATAGACATCTACAACGTAAATGCGCCACCCACCTTGAGATATAATTTCTAAGATCTCAGTATAGTTACAACGGCTGCCCTACCCTTCAGACCGAAACGCATTACTGCTTCACGGCAGAAATAGGTAGGGTAGTGATACCTATCCGTGCGGACTCACAAGAGGTCCTACCACCAGTAAAAAATCTATATTCAAACTAGAAACTTGTATGTTAGTGACAACTTATTCTAACTCATATCTCTGTCCTTGACTAACAAATGAATAAATCTTTCAATACAATAAAGTGAAGATTTAGATCTCATGTCTTAAGGTGGTTGGCGTTGTTTTCTTTGTGATGTTTCTGAACTCCGAACATCACTGAACATTAGATCAGCCGGTCTCTATGTCAACAGCAAATAATAAACTCTGGATAGACAGCGGCTCTGCCCCTAGCATTGCTGACATCCATGAATGACGGTAACCACTCACCATCAGATGGGCCGTATGAACATCTGACTACAAAGACGATAAAAAAATGTTATAAAAATTAATATTAATATTTTATACCCATATCTATACTAAAGATGTATTTCAATCCCAATAAAATATTCTCATGATATAATCTTATAGTTAAATCAATAACCTTAAAACCAAAGAACCGGTTGTTTACATTTAGCTGTAAATGTTTAGTTAACAGATCGCTCGAGGCAACGGTTATCTCCTGGTTTCAACCGGATTAGTTGCGAAACTAACCGGGCGTGTTTACTTGTATCGATGTTATCCGGTACGAAGATGTGGTTACGTAAAGTTTTATCTCGTGTTGTGTTGTTGAAATTTACTTTTAATATACGAGTATAAGACATAATTTTCATTTGTTCATGAATAAGTTATTAGATTTATTAAAGAATATTAAATGTTTTTTGTCACATTAAATGTAAGTATCATCAAAAATAATTATGTATTTTTTATACAAAAGCAAAGCAATCTTCTTCAATTAAGGTGGAAAAGTGATTCGTTCACTTTTAGTATTTTATTTGTAATGAAAGTTTGACAAAGGGTAACACCACAAAATTCATTCTGACAAAATAATACGTGACCTGATCACCGCTTGCTAGGTATCACAGAATGATGCAGGTTTGTTGCATACGGTGATAGCACGCGGTGATAGTTTGTTCAGATATTATTCACAAGATACAGGTATCCGACACCAAACTCCAGGACAACACAACAAATACAACTCCCTTCTTATATTTCTGTTACTCGCAAAACTTCATCTCCTCTCAATGATTTTAAATAGGATATGTCGTCCCACGCGTCGACAGGGATAACCGTTTTTCCAATGCCAATGATTTAGATCATACTTCTAAGTGTATAAGGCTCTAGCAAAATCTTCTATTTCAGTAAGTAAACCTAGTAGAAACATTATAAAGCGGGAACATTTAGAGTTATAATTTAACAATTTTAAACACAGCAATCTTAATGAGAAAATGTACGGTGCACAAATTTGTTTAATAACATGCGGGCCTTCACTTTTAGGCTTGAATCGCCCGTGTGGTCGGGGCTTATAGTAATGTTATTTCATATCGATAATCCCGTAAATATTACGTTTTCATAAGATTTTCATTAGACATGATACAAAATTTCGCCTTAAAACTTTCGACTATTGTGAGCAAGCAGTGTCTAACATAAACAATTAAAATACATAGCGTTACAGCTTCGTTCTACCAAGCTAACTTAAGCTCTCCCAGCTTACTCATTGTTAACAATTCAAAAACGATACTATTAAAAACAGAATTTGGATCCATAACGCAAATATTAGCGTTTAAAAGTCGAGGCATCATCGATCAAGTTTCAAAGCTTGAAATACAAACATCGATAAATCTTCCCAGCACTAGAGCCGTCGGGAATTATTGATGTTGTTTACTTTAGCTATCGGCACACGCGCAAAAACACCCTTTAATAATATTAAGGGTGCATTATAATAGGGTTCGATAAGAGCCTTGTGTTACGCCCTTTATAATTTCAAGGGTGGTTTGGGGAGATCAAAATGGAAGTAGGAATGTTTTTAGTGTGCGTAATTGCACGAGCATTTCTTATGTATGTTATAAGTTTGGGAAACAGAACAGTTGTCAGCTTTTCTCGTCACGTAAGAAAAACAGAAAACGAATAGATCTCCGTAAACTCAGGGATTCGGGACAAAGAAATTGTCCTTCTCCACCAGAAGTTGGGACAGTTCATTACGGCCTACACCAGTAAAACTTTAATGTAGCGTAATTAAACCTTGAAATTCTCTCAAAATCTGTCACCCGGAGCTTAAAGAGTTTAAATTTGAACCAACCGTTAAGAAACTTTAAAGTTTGAAACTTAAGTGTTCGCCCTTCTCTGACCGAAACGCGTTAATGTTCGTTTATAAGTTTAAATACACCATTATACATTACGGAGTTGGATCAGGGAATCGTTACAAACTTAATTTGTACGTAGCGAGGAATGCGCGGCCATTGTATTTTATTTGTTGCTAGATAATCGAGAACATTCGAGGCGCGATGAAGATTTAAAGCGTGAATTTGGGAGCGCATTAGATTCTGAGAATTGACCTGTTTAACTACACTAGTGGTGCCGCAGTAGTCGAAATTCGACTATAATTAATTGAAATTATAAGTTTGTACACTATTAAGATTCTATTTTCAAAGACTATTTATTATACTTCTATAATCACAAATTTCGCCAAGACTACACTATAGAAAAATATTAATAAAGACAATCAATATTTAACCTATTCTCAATTTGACAGCAGACGTCAAGAACAAAAGTTTGACAATAAATAAATAGTATGCATGCGTGTGTGTGTAATGTTTTCTTTATTGATTTAATGTTTTTTTATGCATTATCTTAAAAAAATATTAGCATTGTGCACTTCTTCTCTATAGTCTCTGTAAGTGTGGAAAATTTCATACTCCTCCGTCCGCGCAATTTTCGTATAAAGGGATACAAAGTTTTTGATTCACGTATTAATATATAGATTCTTACTAATTTGCTTTTTTTAATACGCTTTTATTAGCTTCAGACGTATGTAACGGAATCTTTGAACATGATTTAACCCCCTTTAAAACGTCGGATTAACTCGAAATTTGGCATACCTACTTGAAAAAATTGAAATACAACTAAAAAATGAAAAATAAATAATAGTTTAAAAAACACAAAAAAAAATACGCTTGTATAGAAAATCCAACTAAAAAATAGAAATTAAATTTTAATAAATGTGAATTAAAAATAGTGTAAGAAAAAATGATTTTATTGTAAAAAAAGCGTGGGGTGCATGGTATCAGTACTTATAAATATTTTATGAACAGATATGAGTAGAAGGGCTATTTTGATAATATCCTGAAAAGCAACACACGCTTTTTTAAAATAAAACAATTTTTTCTTACAATAATTTTAATTCAAATTTATTAAAATTTATTTTCTATTTTTAGTTGGATTTTCTATAAAAGCGTATTTTTCAGTTTTTTAAACTATTATTTTTATATTATTATGATCGAGTGAAATTTTGAATATTCTTCTTGATACAAGATCTAATCATTATTAAACATGGCTCAAAAATTAAGATGGCAAAGCTAAGAATTTTTAATATAGTAATTTATTATTAATATGTTATTTCGGTCCTGGCAAATTTGCTATTCACCGGCACCGCACTACTCAGGTTAAAAAAAAATTAAAACTTACCGCGACCGTCCAATCAGTATTCGGTTCGTGTTTACCGTTCGCGCGCCGAATTGATCCG